TCTGACCTGACCGGATACATTACTGTTCTGCTTTCTCTGTACAGAATTTGAGAGTGCATCTAACTAGGAGACTGTCACAGTTTTTACAGTTTCATGAAACAGATTATCTTATGGTCCAGGTTACGTTCTGAGATTAGACCCTTCAAGGGACATATTAGCTCTCTTTCGACAGTTTAGTATATACTGCACAGATCTCATTTGTCCCGTGATGGCTTTCTAATGCCCGCCTCAAAGTTCCTTGTTACCACTCCATTATTACCTTATCACACCAAGAGTGACAAAAGCATTGGAAGACTCTTGTGGTCCTTTAGTACCTGGCCTCCTGTGACCTATGGGTTTGCAGAGATTTCTTTGTTCCCTGAGGCTATTTATTTTTGCTAGAAAATACTCATTAAGTGTGAAGTTATGAATTTTAATGTGCTGCTCCACTCTTCATATGCCAGTGGTTACACTACACATAGTATGTATTAGAAACGAATGGCACAAAGGAAAATTCCAAACAGCACGGCTCTTCCTCTGGGACGGTCTCCACACAAAGGTTTGTGACGTTCTTTCCTGCACAGGTGTCAGGCTCTCCCAGATGGCCCTTCCCAATAAGATTCCACCCATCTTCCCCACTGATCACTAACTGAGACATATACTGTTGTTATACTGAGCAAAACGGTGAGGCTGGAACTTCTTGTGAAGGTCCTCTTGTGTCTGTGGAGGCCTGCTAGTGTTTTATGAATGTGCATTCTAAGTCTAGTTACCAGATTTACTCAAATCTGTGACTGTTTCCTAGCAGGAGATGAGCAGGGTGTGACAGAGAGATTAAATCTCTGCCTGTTTAAATTCAAAATAAAATATTCAGAGTACATACCATATATATGCTTATTATTTAAAGAGATTTTTGTAAAGTTTTTCATATAAAAAGGGAAGAAAATTCATGTTCATTGGTACAGTTCTTATATATTTTAGTACTGACCTCAAGCCTGATAAGAGTTAAAATGGAAAAGTTCCGTTGCTGCTTCTGCTTTAACTCGCTGGGGCCTAACTTGATATACTGATAATAGTGTTTTCAAAGTTCTCTGCCCATGTTTAATTCACTCATTGACAAAATTTAGCATAACCTCCTAATATGTAAATTAGATGAATATGAATCATAGATTTGCTTTCTTGATTATTATTTTTTGTTTTAGAGTGACAGAATCATTGTATCTCCAGAAATCCTTCTTAATTGAATTCAGCAGACCAGATGTTTTGTTGTTCAGGCACTAATTTGTGTCTGATTCTTTGTGACCCCATGGACTGCAGGACATCAGGCTTCCCTGTCCTTCACTTGTCCATTGAGTTGATGATGCCATCCAACCATCTCATCCTCTATTGCCCCGTTCTCCTGCTGCCCTTAATTTTCCCAGCATCAGAGTCTTTTCCAGTGAGTCAGGTCTTTGCATTAGGTGACCAAACTATGGAGCTTCAGCTTCAGCATCAGTCCTTCCAGTGAATATTCAGGATTGATTTCCATTAGGGTTGACTGATTGGATCTCCCTGCAGCCAAGGGACAATCAAGAGTCTTCTCCAACACCACAGTTCAAAAGCATCAATTCTGCGGTGCTCAGCCTTTCTAGTCCAACTCTCACATCCGTACATGACTACTGGAAAGACCATAGCCTTAGCTAGATGAACCTTTTTTTGGCAAAGTAATGTCTCTGCTTTAATATACTGTTAGGTTTGTCATAGCTTTTCTTCCAAGGAGCAAGCATCTTTTAATTTTGTGGCTGCAGTCACCGTCTGCAGTGACTTTGGAGCCCAAGGAAATGAAATCTGTCACTGCTTCCACTTTGTCCCCATCTATTTGCCATGAAGTGATGGGACCGGATGTTGCAAAGATACAGGCTTTACCCTTAAGATGTTTACAGAATGCTGAGAAAGGTGAGAGTACAGGATAGTGGCATGATGTCAGCGTGTGAGTCCTGGCAGGGTTCATGGGTCAGTGGAAGCACCGATGAGGGAGAGAGCTCTGACCTGAACCTGTCAGGGAGATGTGGGGTTGGGGCAGGAAGCAAAGACCCCTCAGGACAGGCAGGCACACGTGGGACCCTCCTTGGAGTGATAGGCGGTCGTGAAGGAGGGTGGCGGTGAGGCTGGAAAAGTAGTCTCTGGGCAGGGAGTGAGAGGTCCCTGAATGCTCGGGTAGGGAGTTAAACTGTAAGTCCTCAGGAGCCTTTGAAACTCCTAAAGGGAGTTTGGCAGGAGCCATGATGTGACCCCAGACTCTCCCGGGCACTTTAAGTCTCAGGTTGTCGTCCAGCACCAGGACGACGTCAAAGCCTCTCTGTTACCCAGCCCCCTGTGTGCTGAAGGTAACATGCGTGATGCTAAAGGAACCAAGTAGCTTAGAGCTAAATGGATTCTGTATTGAATGTAATTACTCTAGTTCTTACCACTAATCAAAGTGAAATATCCTTTAAATAATCCTGTTAGCTATGATCATCTTGTAAGACCCTGTCAAACTAGTTCTAACAGAGTGAACTGAACACTCCTCCTTCAGGGCCAGTAGCACGAGCTCCCGGGCTGAGGCTCCCACTCGTTTTTCCATTTAATATTATAACAAAGAATAATCTGTACAGCAACTAATACATTAACATCATTTTTCCTGTTTTCCTTTCCATATATATACTCCTCAGGTACTACTGATGACATTTCTGAAAATCTTGAATGTAATTTTTCATTGATTAAAACTTAGATTTTGGCTAATTGTTTCAGGTTAGGCTTTCCATAGGCACAGGTAATAGCTGTTGTATGTGACCCTTAAAGATAGATTCAAAACTGTTATGAACTGCATCATCAGACTTTTCCAGACTTAAACTGATCTACAGTGAAAAATCAATTATGATAAAAGTCATTACCTAAAATGTTCTTGAAGAGGAGTGCTAAACTACTTGCCACATTTTAACTTTTCAGTAAAATTTAATTTTTCCTCCTAAATCCATGTCTTTTTAAGCCATGAAGTGAAGTTGCTCAGTCGTGTCCAACTCTTTGCAACCCCATGGACTGTAGCCTGCCAGGCTTCTCGGTCCATGGGATTCTCCAGGCAAGAATACTGGAGTGGGTTGCCATTTCCTTCTCCAGGGGATCTTCCCAACCCAAGGATCGAACCCGGGTCTCCCGCATTGCAGGCAGATGCTTTATCCTCTGAGCTACCAGGGAAGCCCAAGCCATAGACCCTCCCAAGTACAAAAACACAGATATTTAGTAGAGTTAAAATTTAGGATATTAAAAAATGTGGGGACTTCCCTGGTAGTCCAGTGATTAAGTTCTGCCTTCCAATGCAGGGGGTGCGGGTTTGATCTTTGTTTGGGGAACCGGGCGGAGGGAACTTCACTTTCCCCCAAAGTTTAAGGGCTTCCCTTGTGGCTCAGCTCGTAAAGAATCCACCTGCAATGCAGGAGACCTGGCTTCGCCCCCAGGGTTGGGAAGATCCCCTGAAGAAGGGAAAGGCTCCCCACTCCAGTATCCTGGCCTGGAGAATCCCATGGACTGTTTAGTCCATGGGGTCTCAGAGTCGGACACGACTGAGTGACTCTCACTGGGGAACTAAGGTCCCACGTGCCATACCATGTGGCTAAAAAAAATTTTTTTAATGTGTATGTTTCTGGATTTAATATCTGTGGGTCAAACATTCATTTAAAACGGGAAAAATTTGCATCTTAGTAAACCTAGAACTGCAAGTTGAAATTCCGGAAAAGAAAAAGTGAAAGTATTGGTCGCTCGGTCATTTCCGACTCTCTGCGATCCCATGGACCGTAGCCCACCAGGCTCCTCTGTCCATGGAATTCGAAACTTGCTCCTTATATTGGTGTTACAGAAACTACTTAGAAAATCACATGGCAATCTAGTGGCTAAGGGAAGGATTAGACCCAGTGCCCTTGAATCTTAGCTGTTTGAGTGAAACTATGGCTGGGAAGCAGCACAGCCGGCTTGCCTTCCCTGCCCCGACCCCCATGACACGCATTCTTGCCGAGTCTCATGCTCACCTGTCTATGTCAGATGCCTCTCCTTTGATTTTTCACAGGCCCTCACCCTCTGTCAGGCTGTGGTGTCTCTGAAACATGCCTCCCCTCCACTTTGAGCTCTCTGAGCACACGGTTTCTCTTTTCCATCTCTGTGTCCCAGTGCCTGGGGCATGTGGTGAGTGCCTGGTAGACGGCCATGGTGCTGTCTAAGGTCTAAAACCTTTGACCTCTAAAACTTTTCTGTTGTCTAAGAAAACAACTGGTCCTCACCCCTACAGCCGTGAAATCTTGGTTTACTTAAGCACCTATCAATCGTTGTGTGAAAGAGAGACTCAGTTTTGATCCCTGACTACTCATCACTAGCTAGGTGACCTTGGGCAGGGCACTGAAATAATTTCTGCAGGCTGTGGCTTCACTGTTTTAAACGAAGGATTTGACAGAGAGGATCTCCATCTGCTGAGTTCTGTGGCCTAGAGGCAATGTAGAGTAGTTGAAAGAGCGGTGGACAGTGAGCAATGCTTCCTGTGTGTTCAGTGCCTTGGAGATTTATATATGTCATGTTCAAGGCAAAACAATGCTAAAGTCACTTGAAATCTCAAATATTAAATTATTTTTGGTGTAATTTGTGTTAATTATATTTTTATATATTCTCATTATTTGAAAATTGATCATTCATATGTGGTATATGCGATCATTAGGATATCAACATTAGATTAATCAAGATACTCTGTTTCCCTATCCTGGTTAATGAAGTATAAAGTATTTTGGGAAGTTGTGTCTTAAAAATGTTCGACATATAAAAATATATTCAAAAAAGATAGCTTGAAATATATTTTAATGTTGGTACATTTTATTTTGCTTCAAGAAGGGTTAATGAAAAATTTAAATAAATGCAAAATAATCTCAACAGTTCAAACTTAGCTTTTAGACACTTTTCCTTTTCTCCATGATCAAGGATTCTGATTTCTGACGTTTGTTTCTTCTTTTGACTTTGTATACTTTCAGCTCATTTAGAGGCTAGTTTTGAGGAGGTAGAAAACCACCTGCTGAATCTGGAAGATTTATGTGGACAGTGTGAATTAGAGAGATACAAACATATGCAGTCCCAACAACTGGAAAATTACAAGAAAAATAAGAGGTGAGTTTGGAAAATTGGCCCTGATATTCATTTGCAATCTCAAAGTTTCCCACAGTACTTTACATGCTACTCTTCGTAAGTTTGGAGTGATAAAAGACAGGGATTTCAGGTAAAACTCTTTAATAAGCTATCCAAAACATGTTTTGTTTTGTTGGTATCACTGTCTGTTGCCGTTTTACGGAGATGAGGTCTGAAAAGCTGAGCATGGGATAAACGGTGGAGGGAACAGTGCAACAGACAGAACTTCCCAAGAGAGGAGAACCCCTGACCTCGTGTTCTGCAAGCGGCAGATCCTGGGTGGCTTTTCCCTTTGCTTCCTTTCCTTGTCTTCCCGTTAGAGCAGGAGGAAAAGGAGCCTGAGCGCTGGCTGTGGAGAGAGGCTCAGCTTTGTCTCACGCTGTCTGTGAGGCCTTCAGAAGTTCTGTGCTCTCTTAGCTTCACCGTGTGCAGCTTGCAGTGACCATGGCAGTGCCCCCGCCTCCTGGAGTCATGGCGAGGGTTCAGTGGGACGCTCGTCCCCAGATGCAGTGCCCTGTCAGAGTAGTTATCATGGTGACTGTTTCCATCGGGCGAACTAGAACTGGAGGTGGGTAATAAGATTTGGAACTATGAAATGTGATATGTCGTTCTTCTCTTCACTGTCACCTAGTGACGTAGATATATTGGATATATAATTAGTACATTATAGTTTACATGTTACAAAATGAGAAGTAAGTGTTTGGAGAACAGCCTCATCTGTAATTTAAGTAAAAGCCAGAGTGTACTGGACAAGTCTTAACATGTGTCATGTAACTGAAATATCATTTTAGATCTGGGGTGGTGTCATAGAAAGAGGGCACTGTTAATAGAGTCAGAAGACCCCAGTCCTGGCTTCATTAGCTACTGATTCTGTGCTCTTGGGCAAGCCATTCACTTTCCTCTATCCTGTTGTAAAACTTTCGTTGACTAGCATTTGAAAGACTTCTTCAAAGATTACATTGTTAGGCCTCTTTCTGGTGACTCCCAGAACCCTGGCAGTCAATCTTGTCTCCCCTGGGCAGAGAATTGGAGAGGTCATCTGAGAAACTGACCAGCCTGCGAGAAAGGACCTGCAGGGATGGAGACTGGGGCATCCTCTGATGAAACAGTTGGGTCTGCATCCTTGTGCCCCCTGACGACGAGCCCCGCACCTCTGTAAGTGCTCTCATCAGCCTGGTGGTGCCTCACTCTTAAGTATGAACACATAGCTAAGGAGTAATATCCAATTGAAGAAAGGTTCCAAAATGAGCAGGGCCAAAATAAATTGAAAATAAACTAGTAATTATTTTTAAAGATCCACGGAGGAATGAGACATTATGATGGGAGCAGAAGAAAACTTAAGAACAAAAACTAATTAATAACCTCAGGTGTATATTACAGGAGACCATTTTGCATTTATGAGACACAAATAGGATGCTCTAGAGAAGGGATAATTAGCAAGAAAGCTCTTGGGCATCAAATACGTGATTGCAGAAGTAGAAGGCTTTAAGTGAAGCATTAAAAGATGATGTTAGGACTTCCCTGGTGGTACAATGGATAAGAACGCACCTGTCAATGCAGGGGACATGGGTTCAGTCCCTGGTACAGGAAGATTCCACATGCCATGGAGCAACTAAGCCCGTGCCACGACTCCTGAGCCTGCACTCTAGAACTGGTGAGTCACAACTCCTGAAGCCAACAAGAGAAGCCCACACACTGAGACGAAGAGTAGTCCCCTTCTCGCTGCAACCAGAGAAACCCTGCACACAGCCATGAAGACCCCGTGCAGTCAAAAATAAATAATTTAAGAAATAAAGTTGTTTTAGAAGAACAAAAGATAATGTTAAATTTTTACATGAGAGAACAAAAAGACTGAGAAAAGCTGAGAATGTTTAGCAAATTAGAGCATTAATTTTTAAGTCCTATATACTAGGAGCTTCAGAAAGAAAGGGAAGAGAAAAAGAGGAGACATTCGCTGAAGAATTAGTACAAGAAACTTGTTCAGAACTGAAGGCTATGACTGAGTTGGAAAGGGTCCCCCAAGGACGTGATGAGGGAGAGAGCCAGAAGTGTGTACAGTCAGGGTAAAAAGTCATGAAAACCTTCATAAAGGTCCTAAGGAACTGCAGCTTCTCAGCAGCAACCCTGTAAGTAGAAAATGATTTTTACTGTATATTTATTTACCCCGGTTCAATTCCTGGGTCAGGAAGATCCGCTGGAGAAGGGATAGGCTACCCACTCCGGTATTCTTGGGCTTCCCTTGTGGCTCAGCAGGTGAATGATCCGCCTGTAAGGGGGGAGACCTGGGTTTGATTCCTGGGTTGGGAAGATCCTCTGGAGAAGGGAATGGCTACCCACTCCAGTATTCTGGCCTGGAGAATTCCATGGACTATATAGTCCATGGGGTCGCAAGGAGTCGGATACGACTGAGCGACTTTCACTTTATTTACTTAGCCAAATTTTCAGCCAGTGTGAAGAAATAGTAACTTCCAGCCATACAAGGGCTCCAGTTTAGCTCATGTGCAGACTTTATCAGGAAGTGGCTGGAGGATATGCTCTACAAACAAGGGAGTAAACCAGTAAGAAGGAAGATGGAGCGTGGAAGAGATGAGTTGCCCTTAGCGGATCTGTCCAGTTCGGGAGAGAAACAGAATTCCTAGGATGGTGGTGAAAGAAGCTTCAGCGGGTCTGGAGAGCAGCCCAGACGGAAGCAGGAAGAGCCCCCAGAGGATTCCAGGAGCAGTGTTTTCCAGGGCAGACTGTCTGGTGTGCTTGAGCATGTGAGCTGGGTTTTATAAGCTCTGATGGAGAGTTTGACTATATATTAGTGATAGGAATGTTTTCTAAAAAGCTAAGCAAATAAGGTGACTATTGACAGTAAGAAAATGTAGTTTTACAAGAAAATTAACAATATAATTCATGGCTCAGTTATAGATAATAGTTTTATATATATATACACACATAAACATTCTGATGATAATTAAATGTGGCATATGGATTCAAGCCAGAATTATAGGTTATTGGGAAGATGCAGTGAAGTGTGTTTGTGTGGAGGGATGGGAGGGGTTTAAGGAAGCTAATCCTCAGCTTTGACAGCAGGAAATCAGGAAGCAATATTTAAAATGGGAAAAAAATGAATAAATGTCAGTGTTGACATGTTATTTAGAAAAAATGAAGATAGATACTGGAAGGACTGACTGTAGCTGCTTTCAAAGAAGCAGGACAGGGACTTCCCTTATGGTCCAGTGGTTAAGAGTCTGCTCTTCTAGTGCAGGGGGCATGAGTTTGATCCCTGGTCTAGGAACTAAGACCTTGTATGCTGCCCGATGTGGTTTAAAAAAAGGACAGAAAGATGGGGAGCACTGAGTGAGGCACTAATCAGCTTCATCATAAATCCTTGTGGGTACTCTTTGACTTAAGAAATATACGTGTACTATTTTGATAAACATAAAAATTGAATTTAGAATTTTTTGTTAGCTGCAGCACTTCCTGATGTATTTTACAGGAATAGAGGACTGAGAAGATAGCCACTGATAAAAGAGTCCATGATCAAATAAGTTCCAGAAACACTTTACCCTGTATTTGCCTCATGGAACTTTGTAGTACATGTACACATAGTAGTGTATTACACGTAGTACGTGTCAATGTATTAAAGGTTCTAAGAAATTTGTTCAACTCACCACTTCACAACTTACTTGCTTACAGAACCAGTTTGTGTGTAATATATATTAAAATTCTGTGAGTTGGTATCCTATAGTATACCATTGAAAAAAATTTACAAAACACCAAATTAAACATATGTGGTCCACAAGGGAAGAGTCTCTTGGAAATAAACCTCCTTCCTCTTTAACAAGCAGCCCTACAAACTAAACTAGTGATTTTTCTTTTCTGGCTCTGGAGGAGATAACATGTAATATAAGGGTTGGCTATATGATGTGAGGGTATTACAGTGTTTGCCCACTACATAGCTTTCCAGAAAATCTGGGTCAGACAACTTGATGAGGATGAAGAGAGCAGGGGACTGAAAGATAATGTCTCCTTCACCTCCAGCACTAATCATGTCTATAGTGCCCTGTCTCATCCCACTCCCATCAGGGACTGGGACTGGGCGGGCAGCAACTGTGGGAGTTGGGACAGGGACTGAGTTATTAGTACAAGAAGTCATGTAACAGCCTAGGGGCCAAGGTTAAGGCCGGGTCCGTTTCTGACTGTTGCGTTGGAGCAAACGGAATCCACCCCAGCTGTTAGTGCATCTGTAGTTGGGAGTGGGTATATGATATTTCCTCATGTATTTGATAAGCATTCCCAGCACAGAGAATAAATTCCTGCCTCCTGTGAAAGGAGGAATGTGACCCATCCCAAGAGTTATGTGGCAGATTCTCAGTGTGGGCAGAAGGAAAGAGCTTTAGAGCACTCCTGGGGGTGCATCCACCCCTGAGAAACATTTGTATAGGTGGTTTACCCCAAGTGGCCTTCCCTGGTGGCTCGGTGGTAGAGAATCTGCCCGCAATGCAGGAGACACAGCAGGAAATGTGGGTTCAATCCTGGGCTGGGAAGATCCCCTGGAGAAGGAAATGGCTACCACTCCAGTATTCTTACCTGGAGAATCCCATGGACAGAGGAGCCTGGTGGGCTACAGTCCATGGGGTCGCAAAAGAGTTGGACACGACTGAGCGCGAGCATGCATTGCCCTGAGTGTTTCTGCATGGAAGGAGGGCATTCTACTTTAGCTGGTTTCCTAATGAAAGTGACATGTAAGTGACTGTATAGTTGTGGGGGGAAAATACCCATAAATAGCTTTTGTAATAACTCTTCTGCATATAAAGTGATATTAGAATGGCTGATTGCTTTTATGGGCAGGAATAGACACCCCCTATTCAGTAGTAAAACGTCAGAGAGTGGACAAACCATGGCTGTAGGCAGAGACAAGTACTGTACCAGTAGTTGGCTTGTCAGATGGTTCAGAAGCCAAGTTAGCCATTACAAGTGTAACTGCTGGATGC